TATTCTTTGCTTTGAGCCAAGATCCATCTGACATCAGCAATGATATCCCTCATTCCACATCCTCTTCTGAATCCAGCTTGCATTTCTGAAAGTTTTCTGTCAATATACTGCTGTTATCACAATGTTGTGTGGTACTGATAAAAGAATAGACACATAGATCAATGAAAAAGAGGAGAAAGCCCCCAACTAGACCATCACAGATATGGTCAACTGATTTTTTTTTTTTTAAATAAAAGTGCAAAAGCAAATTCAATAAAGAAGAGAGTTTTTTCAATTAATTGTGCTTAAACAATTGGACAGTCAGATGCAAAAAGATTAACCTCAACCCATACCTCACACCGTGTATGAAAATTAACTCAATATTCAAACATTTAGAATATAGGATAAATCCCTGAGAACTTGAGTTTTGGAAAGAGTTCTACAATGCAACACAAAAAGCTTGAACCATAAAATTAAAAATTGATAAGTAGCTTTTTCTGTCAGTTTGTTGTACTGTGGTGGCTTGCATATTGCTATGAGGCTGGAGACTATTCCTGGAGACTTGTTTTTTGCCAATTCCTTCAGTGCAGCTTAGACTTCTTCCTTCAATGCCATTGGTCCTTGATAATATGATACCTCCTGAAATGATTGAACATTGACCGATTCATTTTGCTACGATGACTCTGTGTATTCCCTCCATTTTTTTTTTTTTTTAATGCTTCCTGCATTGTTCAATCTTTTGCCCAGAGAATCCTTCAATATTGCACCTTGAGGCTTTATTTTTTTCTTTGGTTCTTTAAGCTTGAGAAATGCTGAGTGTGCTCTTCCCTTTTGGTTTTCTAATTCCAAATCTTTGCACAATTCATTATAATACTTTGTCTCTCAAGCTGCCCTTTGAAATCTTCTGTTCAGCTCTTTTTTCATCATTTGTTCCATTCACTTTAGCTACTCTCCATTACTGCCTCGGCAACCCAAGGAGGGGTCACTATGAGTCGGGGCCGACTCAACAGCACACAACAACAACAACAACTCCCCATTATAGAGCAAGTTTCAGAGTCTCTTCTGATATTCATTCTGGTCTTCTTCTTCATATAGGCCAGCTTCTCAGATTATTTACTCAGCATGCAGATTGAATTGACTCACACCTTTCCTGATTTTAAACTATAAAGTATCCCCTTTTTCTGTTCGAATCATTGCCTCTTGGTCTATGTACAGGTTCCTCACGAACACAATTAAGTGTTCTGGAATTCCCATTCTTCAAAATGTTATCCATAATTTATGTTATGATCCCAACAGTAGAATATCTTTGTATAGTCAATAAAACAGTCATTAGTCATTAAAAAAAAAAAAAAA